TTGGCATGCATATTTATGGAGTCGTGTATAATAAGGCTACGGAGTCCAAATTTTGATATTTACATAAAAAAAGCATTTTTAATATTTCAACAAAGCAAAATGTAAAAAACGAGTCTGTAGCCGCATTTTTATTTAAAAAATATAATGTTTATTTAACGTATTTTTGTTTCTACAAAGCCTATTTTTTTGTAAACCCGGAAATACAAAAAAACGAAAAATTATCTAGATTTACCCAAGATAATAACTACTTGGCAACGTCGCACTGATATTGACTATGTCTCCAGGATCGATTTGCCGTTTAACCTCTAACCAGACAGGTTAAATTTTCGTAACGCTGCTGCAGATTTGACGTTTCTGAGACGCTTATTAGGTGCCTTATTTCTTTAGGATAGTTATTTGCTGTTGTTCGCTGCATAATAGGTCGCGTATTATCCCATGCTGCTTGTTATATGTTGGACACAAGTAGTTCTACTTCTTCATATAGCTGTGCTTTTGTTCTTAACTAAACTGAAAGATTGATTTTATTTTCAAGGTCCAATCTGAAGCTTTGCCAGTCTTTTCTCCTATTTATTAGTCTAGGAGCGCTTTCCTTTTGGATAATGGTGTCACTAAGAGTGAGAAGAATGGGCGAATGATCTGAATTCATGGTTTATCCCTCATCAACTTGGATCTAGTTTGCTGAAATATTTCCTACAACAAGAAAATCTATTAGGTCGGGTATTTTGTTTCTATCTGTGGGCCAATAAGTTGGTTTGCCAGTTCAAAGTGACTTACATTTTAACTGTGTGATTACTTCTTTTAGGTTTTTACCCTTAGTTGTTGTTAGTCTGGAGCACCAATGGGTGTGTTTTAAATTAAAGTCGCCTCCAATGATAAATCTAGGTTCTTGACTATTGAGGAAATCTAAGTATTGTTATTTTTTAAAGGTATGTCTTGGATGACAGTATACAGAAGTGACCATAACGTCAGAAGTTTTAAATTTTATCACTACGGAAGTAGCCTGAAATTCTTCAGTTCTGCATCCCGCTTCTTCATGATGCTTAATTGCTTCTCTAATTATTTCTGCGCTATCCCCTCTTGCTGCATTTCGGGGATGAATGGTGTGATAAACCTTATATCCCTTAAATGTAATAAAGGACTCATTGGTAAAGTGAGTCTCTGAAATTAAGCATATGTCTATGCTTTCTATTCCAGGATTACTTGCAATTCTTTTTGGTGCTGCAGCAGTCCACTACCATTCCATTCTAATATTATAAGGCTATTACTCACTATATGTATTTTCTCTTAGGTATAGCTCCTTTGCTACCGTATTCTTACCTACTAATTCGTTCATTCATTTTGTTCAGCTTTTTTAGTATTTGGTGGGGAGTATTGGTAATGGATAAATCTTGTTATCTATTTCTTCTTTTTTACCAGATATCGTCTGGCTGAATAATCTAGATTTGTCTATTAAATTGTTTCTATTAACCGGCTTATGTTGGATTACTCGCTGTGGCTGTTTAGGGAAGTTTGGTTTTTTGCTGTGCTTTTATAATAATAAAATTATTTGTATCTGATATGCGCTTGTGCATTTCTGCCATAGCTTCTGCAATCTCATTATCAGTATACAGGGTGGCCACTTTTTCATTGAAATGTATTGCTATCTCGTAAACCGTTGGTAACACAAAGTTGGTTAAATGGGGAAAAAGTTGCATATTTCGAAGTCCAATCTGAGGGAGTTTTGAAAACTAAAATATCAGGTCCGGTTTCCGAGATATTCGATAAAAAACAAATAAGTACCATTTCTTTATTCCGCTACAGAACGTTTATTTGCAAAAATAGACAAAAACTCATTTGAAGTTTTTTGTTTTATATCAAATTGTGCGTATGATAGCGTATTTAGTTTTTTTATCCGACGTTTCGTAAATGCAGGACCACCATCAACTTCTTTATTTGAATATGGACCAATATTTTCCTGGCTCATAATTTTAATGCATGTTCAATGTTGAATACAATGATGTAATAAAATATTGTGATTAGTCAACATTTCGGAAGATTTGAACATCATCAGGTAAGTTTACAAGTACGGACCTGTGTTTTGTTAGTTAAAAATATTTGAATTAGTAAATGATGTATTATCGTTGTAAGAGATTATAAATAATAAATACCAAAGTCAAACTTTTAACTTTACATCAAGACAACATGTTCGTTTACACATTTGCTAAAAAATATTTTCCATTTTTATGGTTTTTGCACTTGACCAATCCCAATATTAATCTATAAATAAAGTACATCCCGATTTTTAAATACATAAATTTAGCCTGATTTGTCATATTTTGTTGGATTTTTTAAACTGATATGGTTCCTCATAGTATAAAAAAGAAAAAGTTAACCAAACTGCAGATAGATACCTACTTACAATAATAATTGTATATCTAGCAACACGTCTTGATTATTATACAGATAAATTTAAATCAAGTTAACCTGGCATGTCACATTTTATTATTGTATATTTGACAGACTGGTATCGGATAAAAGCATTGGTATATTTTTAATTAGGGTATTGAAAATATGGTTCGTTACAGTAGAAGTGAGAAAAAAGATATGTACGATGTGTACATAAAATGTAACAGAAATAGTGGAGAAGCTGCAGAAAGATACCTTCAGTTGTATCCAGGAAGGAGGCAACCATCTTTATTAATTTATTATAGGATAGCGTTAAATATGGCTCACGAAGGAAATATTGAAAAAAAAAACGTGGTAAATATTTAAAACGTAATACAATAAATGAAATAAATGTTTTGTCTCAAGTTTATATCAACCCTGAAACGTCGTCTAGAGCAATAAGCCGAGAATGTGGAGTTTCTGCAAGTACTGTGAAAAACATTCTTAAAAAACATAAGTACCATGATTACAAATTCTAACCTGTACAAAAGCTACATCCTGGAGATTATAATCGTAGAATTTTGCCGTTGGTATAAACGAAAATTAAATAATGATGCCTTTCATGGACGAATTTTATGGACAGATGAATCGACATTTACTAATAGTGGAATATTTAATAGAAAAAATAAACATTTTTATGCCACCGACAACCCACATTTAATTCAAGAAGTAAGACCTCAAATTAGATTTTCAATAAACTTATGGTGTGGAATACTCAATAATAAAATAATTGGTCCTATTTTTATTGACGGAAACCTCAACCAACACAACTATTTACAATTGCTAGAAGATATGTTAGATAATCTTCCTTTAGGTGATCGAAGAAATATTTATTTTATGCAAGATGGCTATGGGCCACATAATGCTGCATTAATCAGAAATTATTTAAACGAAAGATTTCCCAGGAGGTGGTTTGGTACACATGGACCTATTCGATGGCCCCCTAGGTCACCCTGCTTAAATCCTATGGATTATTTTGTATGGGAATATATCAAAAATAAAGTATATTATGATGGTATTCCAAATGACTTAAATCAATTACGAGATAGGATAATTAATGCGTTTAATAATATCACTCCACAAATGGTTTCTGCCAGCATAGCTCAAATGACAGACCGTATTGACTTATGTATTCAAGAAGAAGGAGGACATTTTGAGCAACTACTGTAGTTTTTCTCTTATCGTTAATCATTGTTTTCATTTATTTGTTTCTGACGTGATTAAGTAGTTAAATACATATTTTTTTTTATTAAATTATTTTAAGCATTTAAAATGTAGTTGTGTATTTCAAATAATTTATAATACAGGTCTGTACAAGTAAACGTACCTGATTTCTTACACTGATAATACATCATTTACTAATTCAAATATGTTTAACTAACAAAACACAGGTCCGTACTTGTAAACTTACCTGATGATGTTCAAATCTTCCGAAATGTTGACTAATCACAATATGTTATTACATCATTGTATTCAACATTGAACATGCATTAAAATTATGAGCCAGGAAAATATTGGTCCTTATTCAAATAAAGAAGTTGATGGTGGTCCTGCATTTACGAAACGTCGGATAAAAAAACTAAATACGCTATCATACGCACAATTTGATATAAAACAAAAAACTCCAAATGAGTTTTTGTCTATTTTTGCAAATAAACGTTCTGTAGCGGAATAAAGAAATGGTACTTATTTGTTTTTTATCGAATATCTCGGAAACCGGACCTGATATTTTAGTTTTCAAAACGCCCTCAGATTGGACTTCGAAATATGCATCTTTTTCGCCATTTAACCAACTTTGTGTTACCAACGGTTTACGAGATAGCAATACATTTCAATGAAAAAGTGGCCACCCTGTATATTGTTTTATCTAACCTAACCTAACTGATGACAATGAACTTTATATTGGCAATCTCGACCAGAGATTCTTCCATACTTCATCCATAATTCATTCATATGTGTAGAGATATTTATTAATGAGACATATTCCGTCAACGATGGTCTAATCGTTAGTCTAGCTGTAGCTCTCAACCTATTTAATTCAATTTTATCTTCAGGTGTTTTCCTTCTTTTATATTTATTAAACGCGTTTTTACTCACCTTTAATGTTTTTCCACATTGGCTAGTCCACCATAGCACAGGTTGTGGGTAAGTTGTTTGATCAAAAATTGTAGATTTAAAATTAAACATCGACATCTGATGAAGATGTACTTCTAAACAAAATATGTTATATTTAATCAATAATAAAATGAAATAATTTCTCTGAAAATCTAGTTTGATTTTTCCTAGTAATAATAACAATAGTGTTTTTTTTATTAAAATTAACATAACAAAAATAGTGAGTTGTCTAAATGGTGTTATCCAAAATATAATATAAATTTGTTTATTTTAGCAGGTAAATAAATGATCATAAAATAATTTCTGCCAATTCTGGGGGAATTTCGTTAGAACTATACCTGTGGGCTGGTATTGCCCATTTCTACCCTAGTGACACAATAAACCATTTCGGTGTGGCTGGCTTTATTATTTCTGTCACCGCTCCTGTCGTTTATATAATCCTCACGTCTATTAAATCTTACCTACGCAATTCCTTGGTCCTGCGCTAAATGGAATAAATCCGTACGTATGCCTAGAAGACTGTTTTTCTGGAAGAAATCTCTCCGGGTCGAATTTTTCCGGTTCCGGAAATACGTTGGGATCACGGTTCATTCCGTATATAAATATAGATATATTAGTTCCTTTGGGGATTCTTGTTCCATCTAAAATAAGAAAAAATATGAATTTATTTATCTGTATTAAATTCTAGCTTGCTAAAAGCCTATAATATTGTTGCTAGAGATAAGGTAATGCCAAGTTTTAAGATATGAAAACCTCGTCCATAGTTCTCATTTCGTTCATTTCTCTAATTATTCATAACTTACGAAATACACTATATATTTTTTAGAGTCTTTCAGGACAATACCACAAGAGGTGAGAACATTTTGTTGTTTCCTAGAAAATTTGCATAATAAAAAAAATTCTCACCTCGCGTGGTATTTGGAAAGATTATTTAACAATATAAACAGAACTCTTGAGTAAATTAATTAAGTGTTAAATTTATTTATTTGAACAACCAAAATGATTTTTGTCTATTTTAATAAACTTCAAATTGACATTTCGAATAAATCATGATTACATTACTTTGGTAATGAATCAGGATTGACTGAAAACACAATGAGTCTTTTCAGATCATTTTTGTTTTGATTGGCGTTTGTTGAAAAAAAGAGAATTGTATTATTGATATGTTTTATTATGTATTATATATAAAGTTAAATAATCAAGGATAATACCACAAAAGGCAAACATTTTTTTTTGTAGAATTTAACGTTAATTTTATTTATTTACAAAACTAATACTAATATTAATTTATTATTTCAATAACTTAAACGATTTTTGTTCATTTTTCGTCACCTTTTTGGCTAATTTCACATTGATATTTTTCTTATAAATTATTGATCCGTTACTCTGGTAATGAACTAAATTTTTTAATCCAACATTTTTGGCAAACTTCACATTGATACTGAATGACACTTATAATGAATTGAACTTTTTAAATCCAATCGACATTAAAAAAAAAAAACACGCAGCATGCAGTGTTTTCAGATACAGTTTGTTTTGATTAATGTGTGTTTGAATAAAAAGGATTGATTGATGTAATATAGTCATCAATAATCACACAAATTTGGTCTTTGAGTACGAGAACGAAATAAATAATATTTTTGTATCTCTTTGTAAAGTTTTAAATAATATGTTATTTAAGCCTATATTATAATGGGTGCGGCACCTCCATTTTCGGAGCTCAAAGCCACCCGTTTCTATAACATGAATTAAATATACATAAAAGGGATTCCATACAGCGGATATTAATTTATTATAAGGTCTAACTAGAATTAGAATAAGAAGCCAATGTTATTAAACTTTTCAGTCAAGCAGCAACTGTGGTTAACCGTATCGAATGTCTTTAAAAATCAGTGTATATAGCATGAGAATAATAATTAGAATCCAAGGCATTCGATAAGTAATCAACATACGTTGTTTAGTGGACATTTTGGAGTGGAAACCAAACTATTGATCTATGATAAAAGGATCAAACAGTTTTGATAAATATTTTATAATAATTTAGGAATGATACTTTGAATGCAGATTGGCCTGTAATTAGTTATATTTGTGTAAAAAACCAAAAAAAAATCTTGTTTCGGGCTCCGATAAGGGCCCGTAAACGAAAAAAGAAAACTGGTATCCACACCAGAACTATATCAAAAAAAAAATCAAAAAACAAAAAAAAAATTCAAATAAGACCTACCTGGCAAACGTATAAAATAATTATTTAAATAAAATAAGAATAAATCGTAAAAGACACCCCACTTGTGCGCAAGGCAACATAATAACTTAATTTGAAAAAAGAAATTTAAAACAGTTGTTAAACTAGAAACTATCAAATATAGCCATGTGTAAAAAAAAAATAATAAACCCTATACTAAATTAAGGTGCAAGAAGTTTATACAAAAGAAAGCTGAAAGCAAATACCCTCAGTTCCTTTATAAAGTACTATTACAGATAATATGCAATAAGGAAGGTGGCAAGCCATCAGGACCTGAACCGCTCAGGTGTTCAAATATTTCTGAAATAGATCATTGATATTCTACAACATTTAAGTTGGTTGAATAGGGTTGATCATAATTATGGCATATGTGATCGCTATAGACTGAGCTTAAGTAATCCTGAATCAAATTGGTAAAATCTGTACCCATAGAGCATCTAGTGTTATAGTACATTTATACAGTATGGTTCAAATGAAAGGAATAAATTCATTATAATGGAAGTAGTTGGTTTTTCAAAAAAATGCTGGGATAGGTCAATTTTGTTTACTTAAAGCGCAATTTTTTAAATAGAATTCAATTTTCCCCCACATCCCATTTTTGGGCAGTGACGTCATTGATAATTTTTTTAAATAGTAACTCCATTTTTTTTTCTTGATTTTGATAGATCTTGCAATTTCCTACTCGGAAACATAATATTTGAAATATCTTACATAACAATTTTTTTTGAATAAAAGTCATTTAAAGATCAGACACATACATTTTATTTTATTTTGAGAACACAATAAATGAATAAAATAATTATTTGTAATTAATTAATAATAATCATAATCTAAAGTGGCGCTGAGAAACAGTAACAAAGCCTACACAGAACACTAGGCGAAATAACGCTGGTAGTTGAAGCCGATGACACAAAATAATAATAATAATAATAATAATAATAATAATAATAATAATAATAATAATAATAATAATAATAATAATAATAATAATAATAATAATAATAATAATAATAATAATAATAATAATAATAATAATAATAATAATAATAATAATAATAATAATAATAATAATAATAATAAAAAAGAATTTAATGACAATTTCACAGCAAAATAATTCAAAAATATTCTACTAAATTAGGTGTCCTCCACCGACGTCTAAGTAATTTAGTTTTGTATATTATTTCTTTATTATTTTTAAATCTTATCTTTTTACTTTTTCTAAAACGAATCTAGTTACCTTATCAAAATTGCTACCTTGACATTCAACTTAATTGGCTTTTTATCAAGTGGGTAATTGGGGTGGACGTTTTCAAAAAGTTTTTGTATTTATCAACATGAAGCTGACTGAAACGCAAAGAACTGAAGTTTTAATAATTATTGGTTGTGGAGATAAAACACATACGCAGAAAGATGTATGTACGTTATTTAATAATAAATACCCAAACCGAGAACCAATTTCACAATCCACTGTGAGTAAAATTGAGAAAAAATTCAGAGAAACGGGTCATGTGAAAGGCATCACTAAAGGTAGTAGAAACCCAATTTCCGAAAACAAGAAACTGGATGTTCTGTTAGCCTTTGAAGATAATCTCCATACCAGTTCACGGCAAGTAGCATTAGATAATGACTTGGGAAATTCAACAGTCAAAGAAGCAAAAGTGGCATCCCTAAAAAGTTACTTTAGTACAAGAACTTATGGAAGATGACTTTGATAAACGAGTTGAATTCTGTGAAATTATAATGGACAAAAACAACAGAAATCCAATGTTTTTAAAAAATATACTTTTTTGCGATGAATCTACATTTTTACTAAACGGTCATGTCAATCGTCAGGCTCCTTGGTATTGGGCTACCGAAAATCCACACTAAATGCAAGAGTATCATACTCAATACCCAGAAAATGTGAATGTTTGGGCGGGAATAATATATAATAAGACTATTGGGCCATACTTTTTCGAAGAAACCTTAACAGGTCCACGATATTTAGAATTTCTTCAAACTTCTTGATCCCCGAATTGAACCGATTGTTCCCAAACAGAAATGATTTGTGGTTACACAAGACGGTGCGCTATGCTGTCTTGGTGCGAAACTACTTGGACAACATCTTCCCAAATCGGTGGATAAGTCGAAGAGGATCAATAGAATGGCCTCCTAGGGCACCCGATTTAAATCCTCTTAATTTTTTTATGGGGATACTTGAAAAGTAAAGTGTACCAAAATAGACCACATATTATCAATGATCTCAAAGAATGGATACGTATTGAGATTGCAAACATAACTCCGGAAATTTTGGAGAACGTCTAAGAAGAGATCGCTGCACGTCTTTCCCATTGTATTTTAGCTAAGGGTCAACAATTTGAGCACTTGATATAGATTTGGTTTATTTAATGAATAATAATAATAATAATAATATTTATTGTACTAATAAAAGGCAAGACGTCGGCGTCGGTGGAGGACATTTTGAACACCTAATTTAGTAGAATATTTTTTTTTATTTTGCTGTGAAATTGTCATTAAATTCTTTTTTATTATTAATATTTTGTTAGATTAAGCACTTAATTACAAATAATTATCTTTCGCTCAAAATAAAATTTGTGTCTGATCTTTAAATGACTTTTATTCAAAAAAATTGTAATGTAAGATATTTCAAATATTATGTTTCCGAGTAGAAAATTGCAAGATCTATCTAAATCAAGAAAAAAATTGGGGTTACTATTTAAAAAAATTGCCAATGACGTCACTGCCCAAAAATGGGAAGTGTGGGGAACTTGAATTCTTTTTAAAAAATTGCGCTTTTAGTAAACAAAATTGACCTGTCCGAGCATTTTTCGAAAAACCAACTACTTCCATTGTAATGAATTTATTCCTTTCATTTGAACCATACTGTATATTACGTTTCGTTGGGCACATCATTACTGTTCTTTTTGAATTGACAATATTCCAGAAAATTTTAATATTATTACTAACAGATGATTCAGTAAGTCTATGGTAATCATATTTAGACTTGTTTACATTGAGAGCGCAAGTTAGAGAATACCAAGCAGTCGCTAAAAAATTCACTAAATTTAAATCTAAGGTATATCTCTTTCTTTGGGAAATTGTTGAGTGGATAATTTTTTCCATGATATAAAGAATTGAATGACAGAATACACACAATCATATTTTTCTACGATCACTATCCAAAGTAGGCTTTTTCGCTTTGACGTTTTCCGCGAACTGACATTAAGTGACAGCTTTGTCGCTCGTCGAGCGACAAAATTGTAACTTTGTTGCTCGCCTAAGTTAAATTAGCTATATTATAATAATATTTCTTTTTAATAAATTATTTTTAAGTTATTTGTACGTATTTACATGTTTTTTTTTGTTATATTATCCAAGTTAACATGGACTTTAAATAGCAACTGTTTTTTTTTTTTCATAATAAACGTAGGTATAGGCAACACATTATACAGTACTTACGACAAATTTCGAGTTTTTATAACTATATCATAAAAAAATATGACCGTCTGCATTTTGAGCGAAAAGTACGTTGCCGCTATCGACTTTCTGCCTCAAGCGGCAAAGTATCACTTTTCGCTCTTAATTTACAAATAGCTATTACCATTTTTTCTAGTAATTTATCTAATATTAAGAATAGTGAATCCCATTGAAGTAGTCCCAGATGATGTATAACGGTTCAAAAATCTGCGAATTTATAATCAGTAATACTCATTAGCTACATGTGACGAGTTACAATAAGGGCAAGGTTTAAGTATACGAGGATCACGTTAATATGAATGAAATTCACAAAAATTATAGGGACTATGGTAATGAAAATGCACGTATGTTTAACGTACTCCCCTATACCATCAATGCACTTTTGAAGTCGAATTTTTCACTCATCTAAGGCACCTCTCCACTTGTTAACCTGGGTGGAGTGTCAAAATACGCGTGGATAGGAAAATCGATTTCTGTTTCTAAATTAAAAAATAACCAAAGGTACTCATTTGCGAGATCCGGCGAGTAGGGTGGATGTTCAACAACTTTGATGGTATTTTCCTGCAAGAATCGTATCGTTGCTTGCGCCTTATAGAAAGACGTATTGTCTAACCTAACCTCATGATTTTTACAAGTCCCATACTACTGAATAAAACCGCGTACATGAATTTCTTCATTAGCCGTTGTCGTTTGACGGTTATTGGAAGTGGGGCATCTTCAAAGACCGATACTTTACTTTCTTGTCGTGTTGAAACGTCGTAAAAAGGGATATAAGTTTCATCAACTGTCGCATTTTTTTTAAACAATTCGATGATCACCATTACTTAGCATTTGCAGAGTTTCCTTGCTAATTCGTACACGCTCGGTTTTCTGGTACAAGGTTTTATAATGGGACACCCATCGAGAAACAACTTTTCTGACGTGTAATTGTTCATGCAGGATTTTGTGATTGGCCACGGATCCTATGCTTAGGGTTGTCTTTATAGGTTGGTTAATCCAGCTATTATTTTCTGACAGCATTCACGTTTCACCGCTGTATTTTGTCCTTAACGCTACTACTACCCCTTCGAAATTCCGCGAACCATCTATATACAGTAGTTCGAGATGGTGCTTTGTCTCCAAATGCCACCAAAAGTCTTTCTACACTTTGTTCTTGGGTCAGGCTAACTTTAGAATCTTAAAAGATCACAGTAGATCATAGCTCGGTAATGACCTCTCTGCAGTTCCATGTTTCGCACAATTCCAATTCTCAAATTGTTAGTTTAAAACTGATAAAGCTGAATTTATACCTGTTTAACAATTAAACATGGTGCTGCAAAAAAATTGAACTAGAAACTTTTTAAAGCAAATATTCCGAATTCCATTCATTACAGAGTGACCCTTATAAGTAAATTTATCGATATTAATTAGAGTATCAATAGCAAGAGAAGAGTTTGTTGAAGATTGCTAAGAATCTAAAATTATCAAGATTGCATTTAATTAAAGTTTTTTTATGCAAAAAAAGCAAGCTTTAATTGTTCAACTTATCATATCTACCTATTTTAAAACAATTATGGTACGGATCACTATTGCCCATATAAATTTCAATCTGCAAATTACAATGAATAAAAAGAAAACAAAATTTGTATATATGATAGCGTAAGAGAGCAGCAGCATTTTTAACGAATTTTAACTCGAACAATTTTAATTTACTATCCTTAGAAGCCATAAATAATGGAAAAATTTAATTACCCAATATCCAATCTTCCTCCAGTCTGCGTTCTATCAGGGGCACCGGTGAATATATTCGAAACGCTTCCTTCACCACTATATCCAAGAATTTCAAGTCGTTTATCTTCGAAATGGTAATTTCCGTTCTTCTGTCGTCGCCGATTACTTCCAAAATTTCCTGATATACCTTATTTTGCACGTCTGGATTCTGGGCAATTGCATATAATACGTAAGAAATTGCAGTCGCCGATGTATCGTGACCCTAAAAATTATAAAATCGTCATTATGGCGTTAGTACATTCAAAATTAGAAAACGTTTTAAAACTTAAAATTATTTTTTTAAATCGCCTGTTTTCCCAATAATTATGTACCAGTTTTATAACCTAAAAACGTATATTAAGGGCTTTTGCAAATAAATCACAAACATTTTTATGTATGTGTGTATTTAAATAATTTAATAAACGCACAGTTGTACAGGGTGTAGAGAAACGCTCTTCAAAGAATGAAACTACGAAATCTAGAGCTGATTTTATGACGATTTAGCTTAAATTACCTTAATCCAAAAATGCTTCCTAAGAGAGCTAGAGCTCTTTGATGATAGCGCTCTAAAATAGGTATAATTGAAATACCTTCAAAACGGATTTTTATTAAATGATATTATTCTCTACATTTATTTATTTGAATCTAACCAATTAAATTTCGTAAATAAGATTTTTTTCATGTAGTCATAAGCGGTTCGTTTGGGTGGGGTATTGCATATTTTTATTCAATTTTTTTTTGTCTTTGGAAAAGTCTCCATTTTGAAATGAAATTTAAAAATTTAAACCTTCAAGATCGGAGTCAAGGTATTTTACTCTACCACTTCCAGATTTTACTGAAATAGCTGTACGCCGACTAACATTTCTAAATACTTTGGGATATACTAATGATTCGGTGATAACCAACCGAATTAGTAAGATATTTACCTAGGGAGCTCACAATTAAAATTATGTATGATGATTTTGTTTTAAAACATCCAAATATATGTAAAGTTGAAGTTTATAGGAAAGTTCTGAAAGAGATGAATATTTCTGAATTGAGAAGGAAAGGGATACTACCAATTTTGTATTTTGGGCAGATTACTACGGAAATTATAAATGAAGGTTTCCTTTTAAGAGATCTTTTTTATCTCTACAAATCTTCTGGTGATAAAGGTATTTTGCAAGGATACAATATTATTAAAAGAAATTATCGGCTAAAAATTACGGCAGCGAAGAAAAATTATTACAATACTCAAATGTTTTATTCAAACAACAAAACAAAAGGTGCCTGGAATATACTAAATAACAATACAAATGGGGAAAAATCAAATAAAAATAACTACCCAAACTATTTTAAAGATAATGAAGGTTAACGAATTTTAAAACCGACTGATATTGCTGAATCTTTTGCGGATTTTTTTTCTGGCTTAATATCAGACCTTTTATCAAAAATAACAATAGAAAACTCAAACTAAGGACACAACATAAGTCTATGTAAAGATTCACTGTTTTTATATCCAGCAACAAATTCCGAGGTAGAAACAATTATAACAACAATATCCTCGAAAAACTCTTGCGGAATTGATGAAATTCCATATAGTTTATTGTTCCATGCATTGGAATATATCGTGGAACCTTTGGTTATTTTAATTAATTTGTCCTTTCAAAACGGTTAATTTCCTCAGATCCTAAATAGTGCAGTTATAATACCACTTTTTAAAAAAACGGAGTTTTCAAATTACCATGGTATATCATTATTACCAGCATTTTCAAAGATCTACGAAAAAGCATTCCAAACCAGGCTAGTAAATTACATTTTCCTACGACCACTTAGGAAAGTGACACATATCACACTATATAGTCCTATGGAAAGTGCCCTATATCACACGCGTATGAATAAGAATTTACTTTCCACCCGAGTGAGAATATGTTACTTTCCGCAGTAGTTGCCACAAAATGTCAAACAGCTAATTTCTATTTTGATCTATGTAATATCCATATTAATACCTACTAAAATCGATATGATTGTTAAATTATTGAAATTGTTGTAAATTAGATCCTAGATATTTATATTTAACAATTATTATTAAAATAATTTTAAAATAATGTTTGCTCTTTATTCTGGTTAAATACATAACCGATTAGATCATTCAATTGACACAAGGGCTATTAGCTCAGTTGGTTAGGACATCGAACTTATCAACTTTGCCATTTTTCGACCGCGTTCAGTCTATGGTTCAAATCCTGGCGGAGCAGAATTTTTTGTTTGTTTTTTTTTTATTTTTTTTTTTAGTTTTTTTTTTGTTTAGAAAATATGAAAATTAAATAAATACGATTATTGTTGATTATTTTTTTTAAATACATTTTACTTATTATAGTAATAATAACCTTGGTTTTACATTTTTTTTGATGACATTATTTTGTGGTCGTAGGAAAAATATTGTACATCACTTGTGTGAAAAGTGATTTTCCACACTCGTGTGATAGTCGCACTCGGCTTGCGCCTCGTGCGACAATATTTCCCACTCGTGTGAAAAATGTCACTTTCCACACTCGTAATGTAATATACTATAATACATTCAGCATTTTAAATTCTTATCAATTCGGTTTCCAAAAAGGTCTTTCCACTCAAGATGCAACTCTTACATTGTTCAATCATATCCTAGTGAAGAGGTGTCTTAGATGAGTGAAAAATTCGACTTCAAAAGTGCATTGATGGTATAGGGGAGTACGTTAAACATACGTGCATTTTCATTACCATAGTCCCTATAATTTTTGTGAATTTCATTCATCAAAAAGGTAAATCAAACGAGGGTGGTCCTTAGGATCTCACAAGAGTATTTTATTACGACCGGTTTCGAGGATCAGATCCTCATCATCAGGTAAGGTCTAAAAATAGAGAGGAAAAACGAATGAGCTCATAACTAATAAGTGGGTTTAAACATTTTAATATGAAAGTTGTCAAATATCAAGAACTCACCCGTAATTACTCATCTATTTAAGACTAAGCTAAGAGAATTATCCCAGGGTCGGTGTAAAAACAAGTATGCGAGTATTTATTAAAATACATAAAAAATATAAAAAACAATAGTTGCAACAAAAAGTTGATCAAAACACATAAACAAAAGTAGGTCTAAAACTATTAATTAAAATTATTAAAATATTTCACGAACGGAAGAACAATTTAAAAACTTTTTAAACCCTACAAGCACTAAAATGGGTTCTTGGACAAGTGTTTATAATTCTACAGGAATTAAATTTTATTTAGATTAAATATACTGATTAACGCCCTCAAGATATAAATAGACGAATTAACCATTCTAATATTTAAGATAACAGTTTAGAGGTTGTCAAATTTAAATATTTTGACCATCGGCTAATAGATGGCGTTGACGAAAAAAATAAATGTTTCTTAATAATAATATAGGTTTATAAAATGAATTGTTTGAATTTGTACGTAATAAACAAAATGAAATAAATAAATTATTATTGTTAAAAGTAGAGTCTAGCATTAGCGTTGGAAAATAATTTTAGATGTACTAATATTCAAATTAAGAAGTTGGTAACAATCAACGGAAAAAGGAAATGGCGTTATTATTAAGAAACATTTATTTTTTTCGCCAACGCCATCTATTAGCCGATGGTCAAAATATTTAAATTTGACAACCTCTAAACTGTTATCTTAAATATTAGAATGGTTAATTTGTCTATTTTTATCTTGAGGGCGTTAATCAGTATATTTAATCTAAATAAAATTTAATTCCTGTAGAATTATAAACACTTGTCCAAGAACCCATTTTAGTGCTTGTAGGGTTTAAAAAGTTTTTAAATTGTTCGTACGTTCGTGAAATATTTTAATAATTTTAATTAATAGTTTTAGACCCACTTTTGTTTATGTGTTTTGGCATCAACTTTTTGTTGCAACTATTGTTTTTTATATTTTTTATGTATTTAAAAAAATACTCGCATACTTGTTTTTACACCGACCCTGGGATAATTCTCTTAGCTTAGTCTTAAATAGATGAGTAATTACGGGTGAGTTCTTGATATTTGACAACTTTCATATTAAAATGTTTAAACCCACTTATTATTTATGAGCTCATTCGTTTTTCCTCTCTATTTTTAGACCTTACCTGATGATGAGGATCTGATCCTCGAAACCGGTCGTAATAAAATACTCTTGTGAGATCCTAAGGACCACCCTCGTTTGATTTACCTTTTTGAACTTATAACTCACACATGGCTACCACCTTCAACTTTAATTTCATTCATATTAACGTGATCCTCGTATACTTAAACCTTGCCCTTATTGTAACTCGTCACATGTAGCTAATGAGTATTACTGATTATAAATTCGCAGATTTTTGAACCGTTATACGTCATCTGGGACTACTTCAATGGGATTCACTATTCTTAATATTAGATAAATTACTAGAAAAAATGGTGATAGCTATTTGTAAATTAAGAGCGAAAAGTGATACTTTGCCGCTTGAGGCAGAAAGTCGATAGCGGCAACGTACTTTTCGCTCAAAATGCAGACGGTCATATTTTTTTATGATATAGTTATAAAAACTGGAAATTTGTCGTAAGTACTGTATAATGTGTTGCCTATACCTACGTTTATCATGAAAAAAACAGTTGCTATTTAAAGTCCATGTTAACTTGGATAATATAACAAAACAAAACATGTAAATACGTACAAATAACTTAAAAATAATTTATTAAAAAGAAATATTATTATAATATAGCTAATTTAACTTAGGCGAGCAACAAAGTTACAATTTTGTCGCTCGACGAGCGACAAAGCTGTCACTAAATGTCAGTTCGCGGAAAACGTCAAAGCGAAAAAGCCTACTTTGGATAGTGATCGTAGAAAAATATGATTTTGTGTATTCTGTCATTCAATTCTTTGTATCATGGAAGAAATTATCCACTCAACAATTTCCCAAAGAAAGAGATATACCTTAGATTTAAATTTAGTGAATTTTTTAGCGACTACTTGGTATTCTCTAACTTGCGCTCTCAATGTAAACAAGTCTAAATATGATTACCATGATTACCTTAGACTTACTGAATCATCTGTTAGTAATAATATTAAAATTTTCTGGAATATTGTCAATTCAAAAAGAACAGTAATGATTTGCCTAACGAAACGTTGTATACAGTATGGTTCAAATGAAAAGAATAAATTCATTACAATGGAAGTAGTTGGTTTTTCAAAAAATGCTCGGACAGGTCAATT